AAAATTGAGATCTAGCAAGATAAAATGGCTGATGGTGTTTACTGACTTTAGTGTTGGCAAGCTGAGACTAGAACCCAAAATCTTGAAATCAGACCTATATTCTTTTTAACAGCCCCAGACCTAGGCTCTATTCTACCAGGATGTTAGAGTAGAATAAATAAAAAACAGAATTAAAACACACAAACACTACAGTGAGTACAGGAGCACCTTTCAGATCCCTGCCTCTGTTCTTTCTCCCCAACTCCTCTCAAGCCCCACAACAAATGGATATAAAGTTGATTTGGAATATGTTTGCTCCTAGAATTCCCAAGCCTTTGGCTTAATGTTCTATCCTCTAAGAACCCAACGAGCTTGGGAGGTAACAATGAATTCAAGGAAAGGATTGAGGCAGATGGTCTTCTCTTCTGTCAGACACCTTAGAGAGAGGTTGGCATATCTTGCCCAAGGGTGACTGAAGAGAATTCACTGAGCCCAGTGATTTGGGGATCCATATTATAAAAAACAGTTGCTTAAGGAGTTGCATTGGTAACTCTTTAAAAAAAAGTTATCGCTGCCTGTTAGTTTAAGCCCTGTCAAAATAAAGTCTGAAGTGAGTCCAGCTGGCACCAGTGAGGAGTTTACACATCTGCTAAGAAATCCAGTTAATCTCTTCTAAGAGATTAGGGGTCATGAGGATTTTGTTAAAGTTTAGGCAACTGCTTCACCAATGAGGCATTTTTCTACCAAGTTGGGCTGCATAGGATATGTTTATCCAATATGCTCTCTGTCTGACTCAGATCACATTTGTGAGTGTTATTATATAAATTGGTGCTGTATTAAATGAGGAGTCATTCCCTGTGCTTAATTTTATTAGGCTCGTTCTCCCCAGAAAGAATACATGATTTTTGACTGTATAGTGTATCTCCTACCATGGTCATCCTTTCATTCACCTGTTTAAAAAATAAGCAAATTAAATATTTTAAAAGTGCCAAACTTAGTGCTAGGTATTTGGGGGTGAATAAATACATTAGGAACCTCAAAATATTGTAGGGTAGACTGATAAACATCATATAACATAGTGTTCTTAGCACATCATTAAAAATATGTAACAGGTCCTATGGGACCACAGAGGAAGAAATAAATAAAATTAAGCAAGAGCTCAATTCAAAATAAAAGCCAGTCCACACAAGCATATTTAGCATTCCATCTTCCATATTTATGGGGCACACTCATTCCTTCATCAGCTAGTTGCTTTGGTTGGTTCTTTTAGGAGCTGTGGTTCTAGCAAAGCATTGACCTCTACAGGAAGGCAGAATCTCTGAAACACCTTTCTCTGCTTGCTAGGTATATGCTTCCTCAAGGGTCATGCTTACTTACGATGTTGGCCATCTTTTCTCTTGCCCAGATTATTGTATATTTAACTATGCAGCACACCCAGAAGATTGGGATAAATTTTGGCCTATTTAATCGAAGACCTTTTCTGCAATCTCACCACTTACCCAGAATTCTAGCCTGGGTGACCAGTCCACAAGAGGTTGGCATGACAAGAATGGGGAAAGGAAGAGAAACATTCCTCTAATTCCTGTTTACCATGGGGACCTCTATAGCAGTAATTATAATGATGGATATCATGTTTATTGAGAGTTTGCATTCTATTTTGTATTTGTTAATTCATTAAATCCCCTGGAATAACCACTTAAGGAAGATCTTTAGTCTCCCCCATCTCCTATTAAGGAAGCTGAAGTTCTAGATTGATATGGGACTTGGCCAATGCTTTGGCAGCTAGCACAGCCCATCTGAATCAGGATTCCCTGGTCTCACTGTACACACATCTTTTTTGTCTACATCAGTGGGGACCGAAGTCAAGTTTATTATATACAACATATTCTCATAACCTTAGTTCAGTTCTTGGACAGCTCTATCTCAGAAATCTTTCTTACTCAAACGTAACATTTATCATTGAGAACAAATAGATAGCTACAATTTAAATATGTTGCTATAAAGCTCTAAGAGAGACATCTGCCAAAGTTGATAATCAGATTAGAGGATTAAGAGAGTTAAAGACTTTAGTCTTTATTTTTAGGCTTATATTTAGCAGAAAGTAATGGACCTTGACCTGTCCAAGTATAAAGCCACCCTTTCTTGTAAAAATACTGTTATTTTTTATACTCTACCCCAAATCTTGTGTTAGTTATACATTACTTACTAAGGTGGCCTAAATCCTCCAAACATTCATTTGTTATAGCTTTGTGTGGAAAAGTTTTATATCTTAAATCACATGAGAGGGTCAATCTGCCTTTTGCAAGAGGCAGTAGCTGCAGTTTGAAAGGGGCATACATAGCCTAGGACTCTCGCTATTTTTTTTTTTTTCTCTTATTGACTATTAGTGGGAGGGGGGGGGCGGGAGGGGAAATAGAGTTGAACTGAAAGGTCTACATTAGAAGAGAGTTGATACACCATTTATTTTTCTTCTTAGTCCCTTAGCACAATCTGATACAAGGTAGGTTTTATTCTTTTATCTTGTTCCTTGTTTTGTTTTCCTCATGATAATGTAAGTTGTCTGGGACAAACTTTTTAAAGTTTTTCCTCTGATTTACTCTTAAGCATCTATATAGAATAGTGTCTAGCACATAATAGTACTTTAAGAAGTAAGAAATAAGGAAATTTATACCCACATGATTACAAGTTTATTGTACATGACACAGTGGACTTGTATCTGAAAAAAAAAAAATGTGTCAAAGTGAATGTTTATAACTCAAAATACTTAAAGTATACTGGCAACATTTCTATTTCAAAGGAATCTATTATTGATCTCTGTATAAAACAAAGGACTTAAAAATTAATTTTAATAATTTCCCTGTAATATTGCCCTTATAAATTAAATATTTGTCCAGTTTTCTTCAAAATGTGCTAATCTACAAAGTATAAAAAAGAAAGCAGGTAGTCTTTGATTTTCATACTAGCCTGTTTTAGTTGTAAAATAAGTTAGCAAGAAACCTAATGGAAACTCTTAAAGATGCTGCTGAGACACTTAGGCTACCAACATCCCCTCACCCACATCCCCAAACCCAGTGAAGGCCATACACTACCTACTATATTTTCAAAAGTCCCTCTAGGGGGCAATATTGCCCCCATTGAGAACCACAGTTTCAAGGATAGGGTAGGACTGAGATATGTCCTTCCCCTCCTCTTCTATTTGTACTTAGCTCTTCTAATGGTAGGATGGAGTAAGATGTAAAAGGCAAATCCTTCTATTTAATAGGGGGTATGTTTCTCCCCTGGGTTAGCTTAGCTACTACCTTAGCTCATTGATCTATATGTTTTCAGTCTTCTCCTTATATTCTGATAAAGTTGGGTTAGGATGCTTGGTTAAGAGGGCCAACAATCTGATCTAGCACCACTTAGGGATCCATGCAGAGGTAGCCCAACCTGTAAGCATAGAATATAAGCAGCCCAGGCAGCAGGGTAGAAATTGTAAAGGGTGAGTAGTAAACTCTGCTTGTTGTTCTATGTAATTATGGGGTATTAAAAGCTAAGTCTCTTTTATGCTAGTTGAAAAAGGGAAACTGAGAGAAGTGTGCTGGAGTAGAAAACACTCCAGGCCAGAATACAAATACCTAAGTAATAGTGCCAGCTCTATTGCCACCCATTGAGTGGTTTTGGATATTTTAATTCTCTAGACAACCTTTGACTCATCTAGAAAATTGGATACAGATTAAATTAGAGGATGTTATATCTGAATTCTATAAACCCTTGAACTTGATACAATTCTGGGCATTTGGACTCTCCTTATAGACAGTATATACTACTTTTTATCTATGAGTCTGGGTGTCCTTGAGTAAGGTGGGAGTTTTTATTTAAATTTACAGAACAATAGGCAGTAGTAAGGACATAAAAGCTATGAAGGGTATGCGTGCTCTTGTAAAGGCCCTTATTATCCATAGTGTCTTAGAGTCTTAGAAGCAGAGCCAAGATGGACCCTTGTCCAAGTGATTCATGGAGGGTGAGCTCTCAGGAGAAACATCTGAAGGAAGGAGGAGAGCAGGATGAAGCAGTAACAGTTAGGCAGATGTGGGGTTTCAGAAGTCCAGCTTCATCCTAAACCCATGAGTCTCAGTTACACCAAGATTCTTCAGCCCAGAGTCAGGAGGCCTGGGCTGTTAGAACCTCACTTCAGCCAGCCATTTACGACAGGTCATCTACAGGGGCCAGTAGTATCTTAGGCATCACCTGTCCTGGGTTCCCATAAGCCCAGGACAGACCAATGCAGAAGGTTTTCCCTTGGCAGTCAAAAGCCGCAGGTGTTAGAAAGATGATGAATGCCCACTCTGGGAAGAAGAATCTAGGTAGGGCTCCAAGATTCTACTAGGCATAGTATTAAAGGAGCCACATCATGTCCTCGTGCTATCCTTTAAGAGCACTGATAAAGCCACCTATCAGTAAGTGACAAGAAAGACAGCATAGTCTGAATAAAAATGGTGCCACAGAGACAAAAGAGGAAAAAATGTGGAGATTATAAACATGATGCCACTTGGCTCTGATGAAATACCTTCCAGGCAATTGCATAGAGGTAGCACCAAGCTACTGTGCCATCTTTCCTATGGCCCAGAGAGCTAATGAAGGAGAAGAGGTGACAGAGGGCAGAAGAAAGAGTCTATTCTTTTATGATGATGTTGACAGATCAGACTCACTAGGCCCCCCTATATCTTGCCACATTTGCTCATCGTTGCTGTCTAATTCTTTGAGATGGTTACACACAAACTCCAAGTATTCTAATGCTTTGAAGTAATATGCTAATTATTTTTCAGTAACCAATTTGTTTGTTCACTTTATTTCCATTTTATTGGTGCATATTTCAATCCCATACTTACAAAGACTTTGTAATGACACTTTTTAATAGTTCTCTGTTAATACCAGATTAAATACTCTAGTGATTTAAGGGATTAATGGGCAGTCCTCAAAATGACCTTAAACAAACTTAAGTGACACAAGATAACATAGTGCAAAGCTTTGGAGCTGGAGATGAGGGTAGGAATCCAAATTTTGACACTGTGGGAGCAGGGGGGACAAAAAAGAAAAGAAGGAGGAGCTTTGGGTGTTTAAGATTACCTACTGACCACACTGACCTCCCCTCACAAACCTACAAGCAGGCGTTCAGAGTCTGATGCTTGACTTAATCATATTAGCGAAGATTATAAAGAAGCTTTAAAATCCCAAGACTAGTGTTCAGTGCTAGAATTGTTTGGAGAGCATTCGTGAGAAATCGATTCTCAAACACCCAGAGAAAGAGGCAGTTCACTCAGCAAGTTAAAGCTGAGGGAAGGGTTGCCTAACATAGACTTGAAGCAAGTTCCACAATTCAGGTGCATGAACTAACTTTCTATCTTGTAGCCCACGAAGACCACCACCCAGCATGGACGAAAATGTAGAGAAGGAGAGACTGAGGAAGGAAGTTGCTCAGCTCCGCCGAGAAGCGGCTCTGGAAAGAATGAAGGTAAATTGTTTTCTTTCGAATTATATTTTAAACTAGAGATACCATAGGATTAGCCGGAGTAGAAACCAACTGAAAGAGTACAGAATTTGCTAGCCCTTTGAATATGTGTCTTTGTCCTAAAGATTACTTTAGTCTGATTGTTGTTAAGAAACAGCAGACACAGGCGAAGCTCTGAAAACATAGCAGAAGTTACCCTTTGGTAAGAGGTTTTTGACATGTATAAGGGAAATCTCCATGTGTGAGGGTGTCCCCTCTCTGAAGCTGGAAGAGGAGGGTGACTAAATCTCTAGAAACTATTATTAAGGGCGGTGAGGGCTTCAATCTGTATAATCTTATCCTAGTTTGCTGTGCTTTGCCTGGGAACTTCACATAAAAGGTCTTCAGTCCCACCCTCCTACCCATCTTTTATCTTCAGATGGAGATGGTACATAAGGAACTGTCTTGGGCAATTTTGAGGGAATTACTCAGTTTGCCTGAGTATCCCCATGTTTACAAAAGACATGTTATTAAACTTCTGTTTATTTTTTCCTGATTAATCTGCTTTGCTTTTTTTTTTTTTTTTTTAATTACAAAGGCTTCTGAGCCAAGAACCTAGAAAGATAGGGGGAAAATTATTTTTCTGGCCCCACACCATTCACTGGAGAGGTTCAATGAAGTTAAAAATAAACTGTGCAGGTAAAAGTTTATCAGAGATTAAGAAAATGAATAATCACAATTATCTTTTGATTTAGGTTCTAAATCAAAGAATTGGCAAACTATTTTCCATGATTCAAATCTAGACGTTGCCTGTTTTTTACATGACTACTAAGTTAAAAGCGTTTTTACATTTTTAGAGTTGTTAAAAAGAAAAGAGAAGAATATGAAACAGTGACCATATTTTAGCTAAGCAATAAAATAAAGTAATGCATATTGGCCTTTTGTTTTTATCTTTAAATTGAGAAGCTTCTCTTTATTTGATGCAATGCTTTGATATTGTTCAAATAGTCCTAACCAAGAAGTCATCACTTTTAGTGCTATCATAGCCAGTAAGGAATGAGTACATTCTATTCCTTCTTTAGAAGTAGAAATTAGTTCAAGCACACAAGAATGTGTGGTTCCTCCCAAAAACATCTGACAAGTCTTGGAAATGGTTATCAAGAATTCTCTACCGTTAAAGGAGAATAAATGGCAAAGGCAAAAAAGTTTCCATAGAGTTGAGAACACGTAGATATGTATTTTAGATTTGTTCATTTTAGGAAAGTTAGTATAAACAAAAGCTCCTTCATAAGTGTAGTGATAAAAATACATTTTATATATTTTTTTAAAAACTCATTTTATCAGGCCAAAGTGAAAAAAGGAGTGCATTATCTCTATTCTTGTGCTCAATACTCTTACTCCCAATAAAAATAAGAATTTTGGCTTCTTTGATGTTTACAAGTGTCTCACATTTCCCTGTTGCCCTTCCCATACAGGCAAACCATATTTTGCTAGGAAGATAAAATGAAATCTATAGATAGCAGAAAAGCTTGGAGCATAACCAAAAAGTTCAAATCGTTATCTTTATAATTTCAGGAATATAAAATAAAATTTTGGAGGAAAGGAGAGTTATTTTTTCTTCTCTACTTAAAACACCCAAAAGGGTTTTATTATTTTATATATTCAGGATTGTGGTTTTGTAGGCAATTTGGCTGTCTTCGTGTTTATCATTCACTTGTGGCAAGTTCACCTAGGAATTTTTACTTGTAGTAAATAGTGCATACATCACCATCTGTCAGGTTTTGGTTTCCTTTTCTGTTCTTTAACATCTTCTTGCTCTTAGAAGTCAAACTTATTTAATCTGAGACTGACACAAACACACACACACACACACACACACACACACACACACACACTACGGAACCTCTAGGTCCTGAGCCTGACACTGACAGAGGATGGCATAGTGTCATTAGAGTATGGCTAAATGGATGGGCCCTGGAACTATATCTCTGGTTCAGATTCTGACTCTATGACTCACTCCCTGTGTAACACTTGCCTAAGTTATCTAACTTCCCAGTGCCTCTATTTCTTCTTCTGTAAAATGGGCATAGTGACAATACCAAATGCAGAGGGCAATTGGGAGGACTAAGTGGGATAACACATACAACAAACATCATTCTGAGTGCAATGCCTAGCATATAGCAGGTACTTTCTACCATTATTATTTTTCGAATTGTTATTAATATCTATGAACCAGACTGGTCCATAATATGCCTCAACCTATTTTGTTGTCAAGGCTGCAGTATGGTCAGTCAGCCAACTCTGCATCCAGTTTCTAAAGCTGAGAGATTTGCAATGATGATAAGCCAGTGCAATAGGCAGACTAAAGATAATCTTTGGAGCGATGGCTAAAAATAGCTAGTATCTAACTGAGCATCTTAGTATGCCAGGCAGTTAAGCCAGCTAGCGTTGCTCTTGCTATTTCATAGAGGAAGTAACTAAGCCTGAACTAAGATACAAAGTTGGTCAGAGGGCAGAGCCAAAATTCATACCTGAAGTGGCCGGAGTCCATTGTGAATGCTTCCCACATACCTGTAATTAAGCCATATACACTGATAAGAAGCCACACTGAAATAATTCCAAACACATACGTTCACATAGGGATCCCAGCCAGATACTATCAAACGCCTGCATGAGGACAGCAACTTAAACATCGGTTCCTGACTTCTGTTGCAGCCAATGAGCTGGTGTTAGGAGGAGAGGAAAAGGAAAGTGAATTTAAATCTCAAATTTTGAATTTTTGAGGAAAGAAACCAAGTGAACCTAAATGGCTGTATATTTCAAAAGTGTTTACAAACTCCATGTTTCATTCTATGAAGGAGCCACCTAACGGATGCCTTGCCCCAGTTAGAAATGATTTGTTCTGCTATGTAAATAATGAGTTGCAGAGTTGTAATCTTATGACTAATGTTGCTTAGAATCTGAGTACAAATTTGGCATAAAGATTTTATTTTAAAAAAACAAAAACAAAATTGGTTACATAACTTATGGAATGACCACTTAATGGGCTGCCAAAAAAATCAAGTTTTTTGTGTTAATGTCTTGAATGACATATTAAGTGAAAACAAAGCAAGTTGAAAGTTAAACAAGTGAATACCTTGTTCTCATAGTGCCTATCAATGTACACATACATACACACACACACACTTACATTTATATATGTATAACACATTGCCTCTCCCTAAAAGTTATGTTAAATGGTACATTATTAGCAGGCTCTGGCTGAGTCCATGAAGGTACTAAAGCCTGATTCTTCATGACAGTGCAGATGGATGAGGAGCAAGCTTATAAACAAAACAACTTATTCAGTTCAGCGAATATTTATTTACTGAGCACCAACTAAATGTAGGTTCTGCTCTACACGCCTGGGATACATGTGAACAAATCAGCCAAAGGTGCCTGGGCCTTTAGAGTTCACCTTCAGGTACAGTGTCATTATCAATCACTATAGAGAGGGTTAAAAATGAAATTATCTGCGTATACTTCTGAGATTCCAGCAGGGGTGATAAGCCTGGAATTCAACAATCATTCATTCCCTCCCACTTTCATAGGTCACATTTTTGGAGTGAGGAAAAATATCTCATTAATATTCCTCTGGTGACATTCTTGACTTGTGTTGCCAGCTGTGTTCTGATCTCTGTGTCTGCTGGGAACGCTTAGCTGGAGGGTGGCCAGCTGTTTCTTCTCTGCCAGGAGATACCCAGGAGGGCAGGGGAGGGAGCCGCTATGTCCTTTTTTCTTCTAAAAAGTACGTAAGTGTGGACAGGAAGCAGAATCGCATTAGAAAGATAGAACACACAGAGATTAGTACCATAAATACTTTCTTGGATTCTGCAGTATTGTATATTAAGCCAAATGATCTCTTTCTGCTTTCCAATAAGGTCTCCCAGTGCTGCGCAGACCTGCGGGATTATGTCCTCCAAAATGCTGCCAACGACCCACTGGTGCAGGGTATTCCCGATGACAAAAACCCCTACAAGGAGATCAAGGGAGGCTGTGTGATGTTTTAAAGAAATAAGCCTAAAAATTCCTGGAATTTCTTGAGCTCTCAATGACAACATTCACTTTTCATCATATGTCAGAGTATCATCGAGCATGTGAATGAATTTTAAAATTCATTAATATAAATCTTTAACAAAAATAAGCATGTAATAATGTTAAGTCTACGTTTTAATCTGTTTGTTTAGCATAGGGTCTAACGCATAATTGACAAGAACGTTGATTGACCCTTTTCTTCAACAGGAACTACCATGTTCTATGAATGAGTCTGTCTTATGTTGGTTGCCAGCATATAGTTTCTGTTTTATGTTTCTTCACTTCCTTTTCAACACTCATAATATCCCATCTGGAAATTTCATTTTTTTTTCCAAACTTTCTCTTGCTTTCTGAATTGGGAAGTCTATTCTTTGGATTCATCAGTCTGATCTTGGCAAAATGTGTCCTGTGAAGATGGTTGTTGATGTTTTGTTTTCTGTTTCTCTCCATCTTTCACCCCTACCCCCAAGGGAGCAGTGATGGTTTTAACATTAACCTCTTGCTCCATTCTTACCAGTTCCAGTTGTCACCAATGATGTGACTTTCCCCTGGAATGCCAACTGGGTCAAGGGTTCAGTGTAAGGTCACAGGGCACCACAGGTGTCACCAGCACCACAATGAGGGTGGTGAGAAGCCAGATAGCTCGGGGTCTGGCTCTCTGACTTTGGATAAGTGACATAAGCTGTCTGAGTCTCAGTTTCTTCTACTGTAGAATAAAGAAAGAAATAGTGCTCTCCCCTTTGTCATTGGGATTAACTGTGACACTAGGGTGACTAAAGCACTTAGCATGCAGCCTGGCATATAGTATGACCCACTAGGTGTTACTTTATTACTGGGAAAGGAACTGGACCACATGCATAGCATCCCCATGATAACTCTCACCAGTCCCATCCTTTTTTCTGTAGCAGTGTAAAGGCAAGACGATAAGAAAGTAGCTATCCGCATCCTCCTGCTAGTCGCTTTCCTCCTGCCTTCTCCAGACCTCACTACCTTTGCGCTGCTGACTAATGCCTCTGCTTCTGTAACAAGTGGCAATATTAATAGATAACTAGATAACTATTTTTGCTGCGAGTATTTCCTTGTTGCGCTCTCACATTTACAGTGCTATTTTTGTAATAGATTAGAAATGCTAATTATACTTTTAAAAAGAGAAGAGTTAGCTATTATTTTTTCTGAAAGAGATCTATTATTGTACGAATATTTAAAGTTGCTAGAGAAAAGATGAATATATGGAAGAAAGCCTTATAAATCTCTTCTATTATTATTAAATTAAATATTTAAATTAGCTATTATTTTTTATTAAATTAGCTATTATTTTTTCTGAAAGAGATCTATTATTGTACGAATATTTAAAGTCACTAGAGAAAAGATGAATATATGGAAGAAAGCCTTAAAAATGTCCTCTATTATTATTAACCCTTACAAATGTCCTCTATTATTATTAACCCTAATAAGTTAGGTCGACACACCTAAACATTAAGTAATCCCTGTCATGACTCCCCATCTTCCATCTTCCTAAGTTTAGTCTTACAAATCCCTCCACCTGATATGTTCCTCTTTTCCATCTAATTTCAGCCCTTTGAAATCCTATTTCTCTTCTGAAGCTTAAGTATTGTCTCCTCTGTCCCTCCCTCTATCCAAGAGGAATGTGTATTGTGTATCTCTTAAGTCATTTTACGTTACTGTGCTTTCTCTTCTTAGAGCTTGTTTAGCTGTCTTAATTTCAATAACTTATTGTAAATTTCCCAAGCTGGAAATTCTCCTTATCTGTGTAACTGCTATATCAACTAATAAATAAAGTCTTTAAAATTTAATTGACTTAAGTGTTTAATTTAAGGATAATTCAGAATCTTAGTGGCTTACTTCTTAAATGGGCAGTAGGGTAAAATTCCTATTGCTTAAAAATACAGATCGTCAGCGGGATTTTGAGAAAGATAAAAATCATAGAAGGGAAGTATAGAGAAAGATGGTTCAAGGAGAAGGAAATGAAATCATGGCTGTCCCACAGCCCACACAACGACAAGTGGCAGTAAATGATGCTTTTTCCCCAAAAAAAAGTTGTTATTTAAGGGACACGGATCACTAGGTTAAATTGAATGAAGTAAAAATAAAGGAAAACAATGCATAGCCTTAGCATTTTGTTCAACAAAACTATCTGATATCACTAGTGAGAATGGGCAAAGTGACACACTTACTATATCATGTGAGATACTAGCCCTTTCAGGGTGTTTTATATACATAGGTAAATTTACATTTTAGTAAGAAAAAAAAATCACTGTTATTTTCATTGGGATTGATTGATGTGAACCACATTTTAAAACAAGGCTAATCTCAAACTTCCAAATCTCCTAAAAATCTGTAAGGGAAACCATAAACCGAGTAATGAGAATGACCAATTATATGCAATGAAAATTAAAGTCTTGTATGAACGTAATTGAGGAAAGAAATAATTTTGATACCATGAATTGTTAGTTGTTAAGGTAACTGGAGCATCAGACTTCCCAGTGTCTCCATCTAGAAAAGGAGTCTATGGGTCAGTTTATGAAAATGTCCATGTGATAGTTATGATACATTGAACCCAAAGTCAAATGAACCAAGAATACAAGAAATGTATGTTATATAGTTTCCTTAAAGAAACCATCATTTGCCCTATCCAGTTTGGCTCAGTAGATAGAGTGTTGGCCTGTGGATTGAAAGGTCTCAGATTCAATTCCAGTCAAGGGCATGTACCTTGGTTGTAGGGACATCCCCAGTAGGAGGTGTCCAAAAGGTGGCTGATCAATGTTTCTAACTCTCTCTCTCCCTGCCTCTCTGTAAAAAAAATCAATTAAAAAAAAGAAAAAAAGAAAGAAACTACCATTTTAATGGCCTAAACAATCACCACTTCATGAATTTTAGAGGAGTATAACTACATTTATTTATCCTAACAAAACAGAGGCAAAGAGAATCTATGTCTTACAAAGATCATAAGATTTTTTTAAAAAAGAACCCTGATCTTTTAAGTGAATATAAAATCAACTCTATCATAACTGCCCTCAAATTTTTCTTATGATTTTCTTTATATGAATTTTTAACAATATACTTAATACCGTATTTTCCAGCGTATAAGACGACTTTTGAAATGAAAAAAAGCCTGCTCAGATTGGCCAGAGTTAGAGAGGCGGTCTATTAAAAAAAAGAACTGGTGTTGCCTCAGAAGTGAGGGGTAGTCTTATACAGCGAATATAGGCCTAAAACTATGTTTTAACTGTAAAATTAGGGGGTCGTCTTATACGCCAGAAAATTCGGTACATCAGAAAAATACTTTTAAAATTTATTTTTCTTTTTTTGCATTCCAAGATAAATATTTCATGGTCTTTGCTCTTTTATACTTTAAAAGTAAAAATAATCACATGGTTCATATTATTTTTATTAAGCAGATTTCTTTTTAAAAAATTTTATGGAACCAATTTTTTTTATTTTTAAATTACAGTTGACATAAAATATTGTGATAGTTTCAGGGGTATAACATAGTGATTAGACATTTACATAACTTTCAAAGTGATCACCACAATAAGTCTAGTACCCATCTACATTATACATAATTATTACAATTTTATTGACTATTTTCCCTATGCTGTACTTTACATCCTTCTGACTGCTTTTTATGACTGGCAGCTTCTTTAAAACATTTGTCAACAGATGGTGGGATAATAAAAGTTTATTTCTGATTATACCTGTCATTTTCTCTACAGAATGGTTTCTACACTAACTTTGATTAGGGATAACACATAAAATATAGGTAAAATGTTAAAAGCACATTTGGATACAACTGATATGGCTTTTACATTTGTTTATCAAAAAAATTTTGCTGAAGAATAGGGACCACATACTGAGTGTGTGTGTGTGTGTGTGCGTGTGTGTGTGTAAGCATTTCTATCATTTTACCGTTTAAAACCAAACAACAGAAGGCATATGGGGGGGAGGGGGAGGCAGGAGGGAGGTCAAGGGGGGAAAAAAGGAGACATGTACTACTATTTATAATCATTCAAACAATAAAAAAGAAAAAAATTTTAAAAATAAAAAGCATAAAAGCTGAAAAATAAATAAATAAATAAATAAATGGCAAAAATAAATAAATAAATAAAACCAAACAACAAAACATTTTTCAGAAGACAGTATGATCATGGGACTTCAGCATTTCCCAGTTCATTTTAATTCAATCCATTTACTTAAAAATAATATTAGCATAGGAATTACTTGATAAGAATAAAACCTTTTTTAAAAAAAACAATATATATATATATATATATATATATATATATATAATCTCTAAGTCTCACAACACTGTGGAAGAAGTTAAAGAACCATTATGGATTTATAAATATTTTTCACTGAGTGCAACTAGATGATTTCACTGGAAAGAAATTTCCAGACCAAAATAACTCTATTTTTATGATTTGGAACAGACACACTGACATTCATTTACTTAAACCAATTTATTTCATTTGGATGCTGCTGCTTATTTCATTTAGGCCACATTAACTACTTTCACTAACTTATTTAAGCTATTTTTAACCAACCTTTTAAATTTAAACAATGGGGAATCAAAAAAAAAAAAAAAAAAAAAAAAAAGCATGAGTTCTGTAAACATGAGTTTTTGTCTTGGCTCACAGCTCACCAACAGGGGATCATACTCCATCAGCTGACCTGACTCCTCTGAGTCAGGGAGATCCTGGACTGTTATTTCTAATACAGAAAAAAGAACCGCCTAACATTTTCTACATTTATCACATGGAGAGACATAAACACAATTAGAAAGGGAACATACTCTAGCTAATTCACCTCTCCCCTTCCCATCACATACTTTACATATTAAAAGAAAACCAGAATCAGGGAGAGGGGAGGAGTAACCTCTCCAGCGATGGCCAGTGTCAGAGCTGAAACTAGAATCCAGGAGTACTCAGCAAGTAGATTATTGGTTTGTTTGTTTTGTTGTTGTTG